AATGCTGAGCTATGGAGTGAGCAATACAATAACTTGCTGATGTTAAATTTGTAGAGCATCTTACAAATTTAATGATGGAATTTGATTGACTTTTATAGAGGTGTAGCTGCCTAGAAATGTATTCCTTCCTTTCATCAATACTTTTTTTCAAGAGCTGACAATGATTAGTTTCAAAATGTCTCTTTACATTCCACGTTCTGCTTACTACCGTTTCATTACACAGTATGCACAATGATCTGTTGTTTCTGTCGACAATCCCGTACATCTCGGTCCATATGTCTTGAAAGGGTCAGCTACTGCTACTTCCACTTCCTTTATCATTCAATCTTGCTTTTTTATTTTTTTGATTCTCCATCACAAGCTGCAAATATAAATATAAATCACAGCGTTTTTTTTTTAAAATATATTTTATTGATTTTTTACAGAGAGAAAGGGAGAGAGATAGAGAGTCAGAAACATCAATGAGAGAGAAACGTCGAGCAGCCGCCTCCTGAACATCCCCCACTGGAGACGTGCGCGCAACCCAGGCACATGCCCCTGACCGGAACCGAACCCGGGACCCTTCAGTCCGCAGGCCGACGCTCTATCCACTGAGCCAAACCGGTCTCGGCAATCACAGCGTTTTTAATAAAAGGTTGATAGGTTTCTTACCTATTTACTTTTTGCAGTGTTGTTGCACTGACTCCTGGTGCAAAACCAACAAATATATGGTGCTGTAATCAATTATCCGACATGCACAATGTCTCGTCGAACACTGTTGCACTGTATATCTTTTTCTTCTAACCCTCCCACTCCTGTCTCCTAACGAAGAACATGGCGATCAAGTGCGTCCGTTTGCCGAATGCACGGGAAGCTTACCCCAGGCACACGTTGACAATAATGAGGCAGTTTCCAGAATTGGGCATTTTGTCACTCGAGTAAAAGTAAAATGTCATGAGTAAAGATTAATCTCTTTATAGTGCAAGTCTTACCTTTTCATATTAATGTCAATATTGGAATAGTGTATCTTGGATGTTTTCACTATGTATCTTTGCTATGCAACACCGATGTACATGTTTACATACGGTTTTAGAATTGCATTATTGATCATGAGTAATGTGCGTAATAATATTACTCGAGTGATGCCCAACTCTGGCCGTTGCGAGAGACAAATATTTGAATCATACAATTTTTTGTCTCTGTCGATGCGTGTCACCCAAAATGAGTTCGCATGTCACCTCTGACACATGTGTCATAGGTTCGCCATCACTGCTCTATGATGACTTTTTAAAGTATGTTTTTTTAATTATCTGGATTTTTCTAGTTATCTCTGCAGGAATAATTTTATGCCTGAACTTACTATAATACCCAGAAGCAGAAATCAAGAATCAATTTTACATTTGTATCAGCACCAGATAGTAGACCATATACCAGTTTCATAAACTTTTCATACAGAAAGCATTAGAATATTACAAGTAAACAAGTAAAGACTTTTTTCTGGTCTTGCTAAGATTCCGAGGTAAAGAAATATCTATGGAGAACTATACTTGTATTCAAATTTTCTATTTCATTGCATGGGTATGAAAAAATCAATTTTTTCTTATAATTTAAATGTTCTAATTATAGACATATTTGTCATTCACTAAAATATGTTTTACCTGTTGGTTTTGTAGTCCATGATCAAAAATAAAATCAAGTGGTAATAGTCTCTTAGATTTGTTAGTAGTCAATCAGTAACTAGATGGCTAAAGGTTCCTCATTAGATGATTTTGAGAGGCATGCCTTAGCCCCCAACCATTTTGAACCAGGTGAAGTTTGGCCTTGGTTCTTCTCTCTTGACATCTATTATCAGAACTTTAAGATTTCTGTTTACTTTATTTTCCCTTTTAGTTAGAGATTAAATCAAGATAGCAATTAATATTTAGAATATAATTGATAATTTGAGTTGTCTTTACTTTCAGGATCATGCCTTTACCTAGAAATGCATTTGTTTTAATGATAAATAAACAGTAGAGTTGTTGTAGCAGTAGTCCTAGGCCAGGATTAGTGTCTATAAAATGGGATGTTCATTATACACTGTCTTCTCCTTAACTACTCTGAATTCTTAACTTTTCTTGCTTATGGGAACAATTTTCTGAGGCCTTTTTAGACATATTATAATTGGTTGCCTCCTGAGATATTTATAGATATGTGGTGGCCCTAGAATAAATAAAGCCTAGACATAATGCTTTAACCTCTTGAATATGATGTCACTGAAATGTTTAATAGGATGAAATGAACATGTTATTCATAAACCATCAAATGGTACATTATTGATGAAGTCATAGTAGAAAAATGATTTAGAAACAAGTGTTTTATGGTGATGATATGAAAAGGCTAGAATATCTTAGTTATAACAGACACTTTTTTTTAAACAGTTGAGGAAGATGTAACTGAAAAACAAACCACCAAGCGACCTTCTGAGCAGCCTCTATCTGATGTTGCTCCTCTCTCTCCTAAGCTCCCCAAAATAGAGATGCATGCCTCTCAAGGTAAATAGTATCTACATGTCCCAAGATTGGGGAGAAAAGTCATTCTATACCACTTATATATGCTCTTGTATGGTGGTGTTGAGGGTAGGGGGTGTATTTGCCTAAGTCATTTTGGCAATTAGGCTACTACTTTGGCAGCTTTGTTGAGCACTCTATTCTCTTGAGAAGGACACAGTTAATGTTTCTCATTAGATTAAAAAGAAACAATTACAGTAAAATTTTTCATTCAACTTTATACTACTGAAAGATGATAGAAAGAGGAATTTATTGGGGGTGACATTGGTTAATAAAATTATTATAGATTTCAGGTATACAATTCTATAATACATCCTCTGGATATTGTATTATGTGTTTACCACCCCAACTCAAGTCTCCTTCCATCACCATTTATTCCCCCTCTCCTTTCTTCTACTTCCTCCCAGCCCCCTTCCCTCTGGTAATCACCATGTGTGGGGGTTTTTAACCTCTCCAACTTTGTGTTGTTATTTTTTTAATTTAATATCCTGCAACTTTACTGAATTTGTTGATTAGTTCTCTTTTTTTATTAAGTCTCTTTTTTTATTGTTGACACTATTACAGATGTCTCCCATTCTCCCCCCTTTGCTTCTCTCTACCCAGCCTTCATATCCCCAGCCGCCTTCCAGTCCCTCCACCCCTCTTCCCTCTGAGATCTATCAGTCTCTCCAGCGAAAGTTTTAAGTGCCCAACTAGTAGGCAAATTTTAGAAACTAGCTGAGTGATCATAACAAATAGTTGTGACGAATGGCATTTCTGAAAGTGAATGCCTTAGTGAGGTGTTCACAGCAACTGTAAGTGATGTCATAGAATAAATTTGGATTTCAGGATATTGTCTATTACTCTAAATATCAAGGAGGGGATGGCCGACCATGTACTTTGTGTTAAAGGTTTGTGGTTTAGTATAGCATGGCTTAAGCGAATTGTTGTTGAAGATTAGATTTTTGACCTTTTAATAGTATTTGAATTATAAGTCTGTTGAAGATAATTGCCTTTGTCTTTTTTCTTCTAGAAGAACTATTGTCTTCTGAGGGAAATGTCATGCCTAAAGAGGAGACGCTTCCTGAAGAGTCCCAGGACTCACCACTAAATCCAGAAAGTAATTTGAATCCTGCCAGTGGAGATCCTTTAAGCACTGATACCTCAGTCTCCAAGAATTTTCCTGAAGGTGTGCCCTTCTCCTTAAGTTCAGCACTACTGGATACATCATCTACCCAGAACATTCCCCATGAATTCCAAATGCAGAAGAACAGTGAAGGTATATTTAAAAATAGTGATTTTAAATCATTGTGTGTTTCTTTCCCCTTAAGGTTTCCATGTTCAGTGACATCCCCTGAGAGTGTATCACATTAGAGAAAGTGCCAAATTGAAGAGGTTGAGACAACTCCACATCACTGTCAGGGCCAAGCCATTACAGATGCTAAGATTGTCCCTGTATAGATTGCCTCTGCTGTTAAGTGACATTGTTTGCAGAGAGTCTGAAGATAGATGTTTATTCTATAAAGGGGTAGTTTACCCTGAATTTTTAGGGATTTTCACAGAACATGAGCTTTTGAAGACAGACTTTCTTAGTACAAGGCTCTAAAAGGTTGCTTCTAATGCTGAATATCTTACTTCCAGATGTATTCCTAACACTACCATGCCAACGTAGCCTGTATTGGGGCTTGAGAAGGCTACCCGCTGATCTTTTTAGTAGTGGGAAGACTAGTAGTAATAACATTACATACTAGTAGTTACTTAATAAACATCATTATCTTTATCACTATCTGACATTATGTGCCTAGCACATAATATTTTGCATAGCCTTATACATTAAATCTTTATAATAATTTCTTGTGATGTAGGGTGCTGGTAAACATTTTTAGGTAGAAAATTCTGAGTAGTCAGTTGACTAAGGTGAAGGTAGCTGGATCAGTGCTTGACGCCCTCTGGCTCAATGGTCATACTCTATACCGCCATGTTGCTTACATCTCCAGAGAATAGGTAAGCATTTCACTTGGAAACTGTCTAGAAATGTCATTACTATTCTTTTCTTTAAGGTATTGGAACTGTTAAAGCTGAATTCATCCCTGATTGCTGGTGATGCCCACACAACCTTCTGCCCTGCCCCATTATTTGAATGAAATAAATTGTTGATTTTTGTTATAGGAAAGAAATTCAATAACATTGTTGGGGATAAAAATCAAATCACTTTCACTTTATTTCAGAAATAGTTACTGCTATACTAGTATTTACAAGGCAAAGCTATTCAGGAGAAAAACATGGCTGGACTTTATTTTTTACATAATCTGTTTAATGTAATTATTTGAATAACACTAAATGTTTGCAACCTTCTCTGATTGTTTTGAAGATATGGGCCTAATTACATTATTTTTCCATAATAGATTAAAAATAGATATTCTTATCGATGCTTTGTTTTAATATAATATTACAGTTTTATACCAGAAATCATATCTTTACTTATACTTTATCTGTAGTAATCTGTAAAACTAGTTATATGTTGTTCAAGTTTACATATATACAATGAAATATTACTTGGCCATAAAACTGAATGTAATCTTGCCATTTGCGATAACATGGAACTAGATGGTATTATGCTAAGTGAAACAAGTCAGACAGAGAAAGACAAATACCTTATGATTTCATTTACACGCGGAATAGAAAAAAATAAATAAATAAAACAGAAATAGACAACGACAACAAAAATACATAACTATATTCCCCCTGTGAACTACTATATCACTTGGTTGGAAAACTGCCTCATATTACCAATAGACTGAAACTACACTAGTAGTCTGATTCAGTCTAGACATTTGTTCAATATGTTATAAGTGCAACTTTTCTCCTATTTATCATGTAAGATCACTGAAACTTCCTTATCACTCTGAAACACTAAAAGAGCTAGTAAATTGTGAATGGGAAAAAAAAGACATAACTATATCAGATTTTGTGACAGAAATTAGAAGTACCACAAAACATAAGTTAATTTAGTGGTATGATTCGCCTTGCCAATAAGTTTATGTTAAATTGAGTCTTTCTTCAGTTAAAGATCTTTCTGTCTAAGTTATTAGAATGTCTTAGGTATGATATGGTCTACAGCAGCGGTCGCCAACCGGTGGTCTGTGGACCACGGTGGTCTGCGAGGTCCGAAAGGTTGGCGACCGCTGGTCTACTTCATCATCACTTTTATCTTGGTTGATTCAGCCCAGTAGCATTTCTTGGTAGATATGACCAACATTTTTTTATCTCTGACTAGTGGAAGAGGAAGATACATTTTAGTAAAGATGTTTTATTTTACATCAAAGTTGTGATATTATTGAAAAAGAAAATTCTAAGCCACACACAAAAAATTGATCATTGTAACTTTTTTTATCTTCTGTTTTCTTTGCTCTTGTCCTCAGTAAATACTCAAAATGTCCCGTAAGTGTCCAGAATCCAGATAATAGGAAATAAAGGTACACCTTTGGCTAATTTATTCCAAAAAGATCAAATTTGTATTGACAGTTTCTTGGTTAGACACATAATATAAATCTTCCTAGTAAAGCTTACAGTGTACAGATGATGTATTATAGAATTATTTACCTGAAACCTGTATAATTTTATTAATGTCACCCCAATAAATTCAATTTAAAAAAAACAACCCACTGTGTTTTCACACACTAGAAAGTTGAGCGTTCTGGTTGAGAAAATGAATACTTGTCTAGACACAGAAATTTCAGCATGATTTAGTGAACATCATAGCTAAAACTTTTTGAGGTCTGAGCACTTCAATTGTTTCATGTCTTAGTTACTTATTTTTTCAACATATAAACCTTCAACCAAATTATCTATTACTATGCAAATAAACTTGAAAGAGGTATTTGATATTAAATACCTCAGTATACTATTAAAGTTACTTCTGACCTATATAAACAGAAAATAATCTTGTTTTCTTCAAAATTCAGATAAGCATTTGAGCCTTGAAATACAGGAATTTAAAAAATAAAGTAATGCTAAAAACGTTCATATTAAATACATGGGAGAGATTTAGTAAAAGAGCTAATTCAGTTCTTCTTAAAGATAATAGAGTTTTTGAAATTTATTGATTGAAGTGAATAAATATAAGCAATTAGAAAACTAAATTTGGGGAATTCCCATTGTATTTAGCTAGTAAAATAAACCTAATCTAGACAAAGAGGAGAAAAATTCATTGAAATACTTAAAGAGAGTAATAGGTTAGCTTAGATGAACCTAATTTAACCCAAGTAACAGATCTTTTACTGTATTTTCCTGTGGCCAAAGAGACCTTGGATTGCTCAATCTGTTTTATGAACTTTGAAGCTTTACAGTAACTTCGGAAGCTGCTGTTGTTGTTCATGGGCAGTCAGATGGGACGCTCATGGGTACCCATCGTCACATCATCTTTATCTAAGCTTTCATTGGATTTTACACTTGGAGTCCTGGGTCCTTGCCAGGGTACCTAACAGATGGTTCCAGGAATGAGTTCATCACTTCCTACCTAACATCTCTTCTTTCAGGATAATGATCAGGTCAAGTATGATTTGTCTTTTTTCCCCCCATTGAAGCTCCAAGTTATATAGCTGTACCTGACCCCAGTGTCCTGAAGCAAGGCTTCTCTAAGGACCCTTCAACCTGGTGTGTGGATGAAGTGATACAGTTTATGAAACATAAAGATCCTCAGATATCAGGCCCCCTCGCCGACCTCTTCAGGCAACATGTAATGTATCTTTTGATCCGGTTTTCCTGCCTTTGAATGACTTCTGTGCAGGCTCTTCAGTTGGAAGCTGATTAGTGTGGATGGTGGGGAACCCTATCAACTGATTTTTCCATATGTGAGAAAGGTTACCTTGTTCAAAGTTAGATCCGTAAGTGGTAGAGGCTGGATCTGTACTTTAAATGGGTACCCGAGTACCTAAAATACTACAAGTCTTCAAGTTTTCAAGAGAAGATGATTCAGCATGGTCACTCACTCTCAGGTGTCTTCTTTGTAACGGCAGCTACAAGGATCCTCCTCCCCACCTGCTCCCTCCTCAGCCCCAGGACCATGAGTAGGAGGGGGTGACCACAAGCTGTAACAGGGTGTCCATCTTGTTTTGATGCCCAATGAATTCAGCAACTGTATAAGATTAAGTGCAGCTTTATTTTATGGATACCAAATAATATGCTTCTGTGACATAAATTGGTTAATTAAGGAAATAAAGAATTTTAGGAGGATGCCTTATGTCTATTAAACAATATGTTTATATTTTCTAATAAATCATATTTGTGACCAAATATCTGATGTATCCTTTTCAATATTGTAAGAAAATTACTGATTACAACAAACTGATTAGCTTTCAAAATAAACACAACACTGTATACCACATTTACAGTTTGCGTTGATGTTGACATATTCATATTCCAGCCTTTCTAAGATAGTTAATGGCCGTCTGAAATTTATTTCTACCGCTTACAGGTTTCTGCCCTTTGTCACAGATAATGTAGTATTTTATTCGGTACACATTATTTAGAATTAGCTAGTTTGATGCTTAGGCCATTTAAAAAAAAGATACTGGGTTAAGTTTCCTTTTTCTTAAAATTTGAAGTGAATTTAAAAATTATCAAATGATGCTTTACTATATAAGTTATATTTTAAATAGTTCTCGGAATAAATGTCTATTCAGACAATATATATTGGGAATGTACAGCTGCTCTCTTTTAAATGTTCTTATGTATAAATAACGACAAAATATGAATGCATTATTAATTTTTATAATTTCTTTCTCTCTATAGGAAATTGATGGGAAGGCTCTGCTACTACTCAAAAGTGATGTTGTAATGAAGTATATGGGGCTGAAGTTGGGGCCAGCTCTAAAGTTATGCTACCACATTGAAAAACTTAAAGAAGGGAAACCCAGTTTTAAAAATATATAAGTTTGTATTAGCCATGATTCTCAGTTGTCCTGATAATTTATTAATCTAAAAGTGTTTTTATTCTCTTAGCAGTTTTAGTTTTCTAGACAGTTCCTAAAAAAGAATGTTACATACAGAATTGCAGAGCTACATTACAGTCCCGTCTACATCTTTAAATGCCGTTTTATGTATTAGTATTAGCATATTCAAATTGGCAACTTCTTTATGTCTTTTTATTATTTTATAGTTTATTATTTTATCATACAGTTTACAAGTATACTTCAGGTAGGAAACAGAGAAACCTTTGATTTCAGTTAATGTTTATGTATAGAACTAAAACAGCTAAATTCCAAAGGGGAAAGTATCAGGGATTGACAAGTTCTCTAGTAAAATCCATGAGAAGTTGTCGTTAGAAGAAAATTTAAAGATACAACAGCAGAAATCATCTCTTTCTCAAGTATTTTGTCTGTTATAACAGTGTTCTGTTCGTGTTCTACCAGTTTCCAGAAAGGGAATAACCATATAAATTATTACCCTTTTGTTATTTTTCTGTATGTTATATTTGTTCATATTTAAAGAAAAAAAGCAAGCTTATAAACTTTCATAAAGTGTTCTTATCTGTTTTTGATAAATTTCAAACAATTATAAGCTAGATAGGATAGTTGCTTTATGTAGGAGATATTATACTAAAAGGGTGTCTTGGATGGAGTCTGGTTAATTTTTTTCCAATGGAATACCTATTATTTTAAAACAACATAGGTAGGCATTCATTTCTCAAATCTCTATTTGAAGACAGCCGTGCCCAAATTTTTACAAGATATATATTTTATTGTCTCTGTTTATTCCTCATATGGTTACAGCATATTTATATATTATTCTATACCTGTAGGTGTACAAAGAAATAAATCTGCTCTTTTTGAATTTAATATGGCACTTTACACTGCCACAGAGGTAATGATAAACTATTTATATAATCAGACGTTTTTATTCTGTAAAACAATATGTGCATCATTTGCTATCATTAGTACCTCTCAGCTTAGTCTTCAGGGGATAAGAAACAATTCATAGTTTGGTTCTGAGCCATTTATTCTGCTAAATTTTGGAAGATGCATTAATTTTGACATCATTTGGGCTTTAATTTTAAAGTGGAACTTTCAGGGGGAAATGGTGCTATATGTTTATTGTTATTACTTTGTATAACTTTGGAGTAATGTTTATAAGCTATGAGAATTTGTGCTAAAAGTATTAGCCACTTGTTGAAAATGCCAATGAAATATACACCAGGGGCAAGAATGTTCATTTTATTTTTTAGAAAAGCAAATGTACTTTATACAAGAATGCAACTATTTAAAGGGTGGTTTCACCTATGTTATTTCTTTTGTGTTATAAGATAAAATTCTAATTTAAACTTGGTCTTCTCTCAAATTGTTTGAGTGAAGATGCTATGTCCAGTTGAATAGTCCTCAGGTGTTTATACAAATACTATGTTTTACAGTTATCAGATTTTAAAATATAATAACGTTAAATAACTGCAAAAACTGGTGTCAGAGTCTCAGTTGTGATTTCCTTTCACCTCGTTACATTTATGTATGAATTGGTATATTGAAAAAGAGCAATCTAGTAAGTTTGTGGTTTTATATGTCCAAATACTCGAGTTTAACACTTGACCTCATTTCATGGGTGAATAGATTCATATGGGGCAAAGGGCTGGTCTCTTGCAGGGGCCTTAACCCCTTCCCCAACAATTTTTTTGTTAAAAACGTTTCTTTTTCAGACTAATTTTTTTATTTTGGTTCTATATAGTATTTTTGATGCTGGTTATGAAAACAGTTTGTAACTCGTCTTCCTATAAACCATATTTTTTTTACCATATTTTCTTAGTATACTCGTCGACGACTGAAAAAGAACATTTTGTGAAAACGAGTATACACGTTTATGCCGGGGAAGGGGTTAAGGGATTTTTCTAAGTGGTTATAATGCAGAAATCTAAGATGTGGCCATGAGAGTGGATGGCTAACCAATACAGACAAAAAGAAAAACACTACAGATGAGAAGGGGGAGGAACTAAGAGGCCAGGATGTGGTCTCCAGCCTCCCCCTT